TTTTTTTTTAGGTAAACAGAAAACGCTATGGAGAGAATTTTGGGTAACAGAACTTTTAATGACAGCAAAATCCAAATCTCAGACTTTTCCCTTCAAACACTTAAAAATTCAATTTTCAGCGCATTTTGTGTGTTTGCCTTTAAAAAAACAACTCACCCATCCATTGGTGATCTTCAACGATCTTCACTCTATATTTGCATCTAGCAAAAGATAAAGAAGAAACAATCAAGAACTCTTTTTTGCATGTTTTTAATGTGTTGAGCACTCGCACGGATGGCCATGTCGCCGACTAAACGAGTCTCTGCAATCTAAGCTCCATTGAAGTCGAGACCTTCTGTAGTTGAAGCTATGTTTGTGTGTAGATATTATTACCACTATAGAGCAGAGGTAGTAAATAAGGGTTTATTGAGGTAATAGATGAGATTAGTACCAATATACAGACAGACTGATTCGATGTTGAGAGCTGATTTACTTCTTTCCACATCCTCCGCTGCTTGGGCATGGAGGAGGAGGGCAGCAAGGTGCTGGTGGAGGGGCTGGAGGTGGGCAGCAAGGTGGTGGTGGGGGTGGGCAACAGCTGCTGCTACCACCGCCTCCTCTGCAAGTAAAACAACATTAGATATGAAAAAGGACGCATTATTTGCACTTACCCGCCAAGAAGACCGAAACCGAAGGCTGACACATTGGAGGCGAGGAAAAGCGAGCAAAGGACGAACAGGACGAATCGGAACATATCTGAAAAGGTACAACGTCAGGAAGTTGCGAGGCACGAAATGAAAAGAGGATTTTTTTGGTTGATGTTGCTAGAAAAGTACAAATGCTTTGCTGGATGTTGTGTTAAGCAGCGTGATCTCTTTTATACGTACACGGCGCGTGCAATTCAGTTCGTAGCAAGTCCTTGCGCGAGTTATTCGCACCGGATTTTGTATGGACATAAACCATGTTAGCTATAAAATTTAGCTTAGTTTCAAGAATGTTAGGCAATTTTCAACTATAAGAAGCTTGTCCAGGAATATTAGAATTGGAGAAAATAGTATTCGGCGAGATTATCGTCTACAACTACTTTTATAAACAAAGCTCTTCCTTTTCCCTATAACCTCAATGTACGAAAGCATAATCCGAGCACGACTATGATAACTGCATATGAAAGGAAATTTCCAACCTCATCTTAACTTACCAGTGATTGAAGTCTTAATATATCAGCTACTTACCTACAGGGTGTGACGAGATACGAGTGCTACTTGTGAGACGACTAAAAATGCATCTTTGTCGATTTTTCGTTGTATTAGATATATACTACAAATGCATTTTTTATTGATTTTTCTATATATCTTAAGAGAGATAAAGGTTGTCATCTACTCAAATGAAGCTGGTCTTATTTTCACTGAATCAGAGGTGCAAGAAGTAAAGAAGGGTGAATTTAAAGTGATGATTTCAAGCACACAAACTGTGTGAACATTTTTAATGGCAGAATCCAAAGTTTAACACATTGATGAAAGTGCCATTTTTGGTTTCTGCAAGTTAAAGCCTTAAGGTTTCGGGATTTCGTACCAAAAAGTAAAGTACGAAAATTTTATTGCAAATCAATGTACTCCGAATATTTATGTGCAATAACTTTTTTTGAATATGGGCGAAAATACCATCAATGTGCTGTAGAGTCTCGAAGTCACAGAAAGTGAAAGATTGGGATAACCTCGAGACCTCGTCTTGCAATAAAAAGTTTAAATTCAATTTACACTCTAACAATAGCGAGCTTGCATGAAAAGTTCGAAGAGAACCTTTCGCAAATTTGTGCTGGTGATCTTTAGATGAGAATAACCACTTCCCAATCTTGATTATTTCTACCTGATAATCGAGGATCTTAGAATTCTCGTTTAAAAAAAACATTGTGAATCCTATACGACCTATAGATAGGTCGTGCTGTACCAGATGGAAGAATCGTACGACACATACGTGCGTCGTATAACTCCAACGTTATGAAATGGTATTTGACAAGCAGTGAGGTGATTATGTCGTTTGAAGAGGAAGATTGATCCCGAGAATTTTTTAGTAAAAGTAAAACCGGCGTTTTCCGTTTTGCCCTGAGTTCCCACTTCATTACTATAGCGTTATTTTGTAACTATCTGTTTTTTCTTCTTTCAATTTGATCAAGTGACAGTCGTCTTATAAATTATAGTTGCCTCCCTTATGCACACCAACAGTAGCACGCAAAATGTTCCAATTTTCTGATTGACATATTTTTCACGTGATGTAAATTGCCGTTGTCAGAGCACAATTTCGACTTCTGTTCATGAATGGTATGTAAAGAGTTAACCTCGCAACTCCTTATATATGTATATAGAGTTAAAGTACTACAAAACGAGTACAATATTCACTATAGAAACATAACATATTCACTATAGAAACATAACAGTAGCAACAGCTCAGAAAAAAAAAACATTTTCCTTCTGAAAATCTTTCAGTCAAGCTGTTGTTAGGTAACATGCTTCCCAGCAGAGGAGGTAACTGATGTCTTGCTTGGGCTTAAACGAATGAATTTAGAACTGAGCCCTCTATAGTTTATCAAAAGTAACACCTTATTAGATTCCGATCTGTAAAAAACATCTGTTCGAAATTATATAGCAGAAATTTTTAGACGTTAAGCTAATGTCATTACTTATAATAAAGCGCGTAGTTTGTCTGTATGTGTGTGT